AACTTTGGATACTTGAAGAAATCCCTTTTCAATTAAGTGTTTAAGTCTACCTGGTGCACCAACAGCTATGTGACATTTGCTCAACTTTTTTTATCTTCTTCTAATGATATTCCTCCAACAAAATGTTCCGTTTTTAATCCTAAAATAGCAAATATAATTGAAAAAGAAATGGAACTGAATTTCTTTGAGAAAAAAATATACAGCAATAATATTCCAAAGTGAACATACCTTCTATTTTTGAACCTATTGTTTTAAGAACATTGGTTATTTGAATAGCAATCTCTCTTGTAGGTGCTACTATTAAAACTTGTGGCAATTGTTGCGAAACATCTATAGTTTCAAGAGCTATTACACCAAATACTACAGTTTTTCCAGTACCTGATTTTGCACGTATTATCAAATCTGTAAATTATTAATATTTTTAATATATAAATATTTTGTATACATGTATATACATATAAAACATTCTATATATCATCAATACCAAATCCGCAACGGCCTAATGGAATGGCTTTCAATTGGATGGGAGATGGTTTTTGAAATCCAGCAAACATTAACCCATCCAAAATTTCTTGTAAAAGTCGCATTTGAACAAATGTAACATCTTCTTCTATTTTAATATCATTCGTCCGCTGTTTTGTATTTATATCATGCGCAATATATTGAGCCATTTTTTTCAATAACAAATATACAATATATATATATATATATATATATAGAGCTGATTTATTTCTTAGAATGCTGTCTAAACACTATATTCTTTTCTTTTTTTTATAATAGCGTTGGTTCTAAAAAAAATATTAATTAGTAAGAAAAACGCAATCACTCAATGATATAAAAACACAAAACAAAATCATTAAATAGCATAAAAATAGTGTAAAAATTATGCAAAAATAAAACATATCCATTCTACTCAATGATCTACAAAAGACTCACCTATATTTACCAGGCTCTCTTGTAATCTTAATAGACACGTGTAAATCAATGTAAATATAAACTGAATTTAACACGACGAACAGCAGAAGCGATCATTCACATTTCATTATCCGCATCAACTTTAGCTGCGTTCCGATAATCACTGTCAGTACTGAAAATCTATAACATATGTTACATAAACTATAGTGATGAGCGATGCATGAAAAGGTACCTTTAGATTTTTTCTCGTTGTATAACTAAATTTGCACTACAGAGTGCAATAAAGTGCAGATTTGATTATTAATTTTTAAAAAATAAATTGCAAAATTTATGGATAATTATCCATAAATAAAAAATAAATAATCTTATTAGAGTCGACCCATCACTTCTGTTGATTCTTAAAGCATGATAGAATATATGCGGGCGATGGAAAAAAAGAACGATAAACTCGAGTGCAAGAAGTGTAAGCAATGCGAACAGATCTTTCATCTGTTAGTTTTCAAATCGATGACTGACCAATCCACTACTGTGCGGTTAGAGATATTGCTATTCTTTTTAAGTTGACATAAGTGCTGGAATTTTGCAAAAATTAGTTTAACTGTTATTGTTACCTTGGATTATATCACAAGAAGAAGAAAAATTGTGTGAAAAATGGGGCGTCGTTCGATCAACACCACAAAAAGTGGCAAATACATGAATCCCACTGATCAAGCACGTTAGTATCTAAAAACATAACCAAGCACATCTTGCACATCAAAGATTATCATCAATTGAAAGATTATGTGATATTTAATTGATTTTTCTTTTATTAGGAAAGGAAGCGCGTAAAAAGGAACTGAAAAAGAATAAGAAGCAACGGCAATTAGTAAGAGCGGCTGTTTTGAAAGGCAAAGATCCGGCGCAGATTATTGAAGAAATGGAGAAAATCGATCAGATGGGTTAGCGAAAACATTTTAGAACGCAGCACGTATATTGCAATTTTGTAACTTTTTTCTTTATTTTATAGAGTATAATGTAATGCAACCACCTCCCTTGAATGAGAAAGTTTTGAAGGACAAACGAAAGAAACTCAAGGAAACCTTAGATCGAGTCTTAAAAATGTATGTAAGTATGTAAATAGTATAATCATAAATTTTCTTCATTGAAATATTGGTAAGCTTATGATGAAATTGACAATTAAATGTTACTGTGACATAATCAGCATATCATCTCTTTGCCTTCTAGGCAAAAGATGATCAAGAAAAATGGGCAGAATTAAAAGAGCAATTGATACAATATGAACGTAGAAGAATAGACTTAGTTTCCTATTTTGAAGCTGTACGACATGCACAACAAGTACAAGTTGATGAAATTCCATTACCATCAGCTGCCAATGACATATCTAGAATATATCCAGGTAAATGTATTGTTAGACATTACTTTAAAATGCTAATGTAATTAATACAAGTTTTATATAGTGTAATTTTATAATTCACTGTTATTCAATACAAATTTTTCCAGGTTCTTTGACATCACAGATTCCATTACCAGACATGCCGCAGCCACCTGTACATGTATATCCACCTCATCCTCATTATATATCACAACACCATACTATAATGAATATTCCTGTACCACCAAGCATCTTAAAAAAGACCAGTGCATATACAACTACTCCATCTGTACCTACATTGGCACCCAATAAAGAGCCACCTGGTGTACCACCCTTTCCACCTCCTGAATTGTCAAGTGATGATGAAGATACAGTTGAAAATGTATGTCAGCAATTATTCTTTGTTTTACCATAAAAGAAACAATTTTAATATTTGTGTAATTAATAGGTGAAAGATCCACCAGCAAAATCAAGAACAATACGATTTGCCGATGACAAGGAGGACAATAAACAAGAATCAGAAAACAAGGAAAAAGATGTGGAAAAAGAAAAAGAGAAAGAGAAAGATAGGGATATAGCAAAAGTCAAACCGACCACCTTGCAACAAAAAATGTTGGTGATGGCGGGACAAGATATTGATCAGTTTATGAGAGAAATGGAAGTCGTTCATAAGAAGAGAGAGACCGAACGTGCTCAAGATCTTAACGCGCGATTGTCATTGCTTGATGCGGAGAGCGAATCAAATGTTAAATCGAGTAACAATAAATCTAATAGTAAAGGAGAAGATGAAGAAATAGAACCGCCCGGAGCATCGGAACATCTGTCCGGGCATGGGCAGCATACATCACATCCTCATACTCAGCACTCACAACAACACAACACAATGCCACCGATGGGCATGCCACCTCCACCTCTGCTTTATAGACCGCCCCCGCCTCCGTTACATCTCAGAATGCCACCACCGCCGCCACCTCGCATTGGACTTCGATTGCCACCTGGTGAGATTAAAATTTCTTCTTTGCATCCTATTTGTGAATCTCATTGAAATCAAGAACTTTTGACAGAAATTTGACTTTTACATTTAATTTTACATATAAATTTAATTTTTAATCATAATATGTTTAAATATATAGAAAAAATAATATAGAGTACGATCATTTTACAGGTCCACCGCCCGGAATGCCGAGAATATTAAGACCTGGACCTCCGAGTATACCTAGATTGCCGCCGCCGCAAATGCAGATGTCGAATATATCGAATATAACGAATCCTCAAATGCAAACACAGCCCGGAACTACTACACAACCTAAAACACCTAATGTCCTTTCTGCAGCGCCACAGTTAATTAATAGGAAAGATAAAGATGGCAAGAGTACTACCACTATCGAAGCAAAACCACAGATCAGGAACCTGGCTGCTGACGTTACGAGATTTTTGCCGACGTCTTTACGAGTGAAAAGAGACGATAAAAAGAAATCTAGTAATGTCTCTAGGATTACTGAAAGGTTACCAGAAACGCAACCACTCAGAACAGCACAACCTAAGACAAAGGATGATGCGTACATGCAATTTATGCAAGAAATGGAAGGATTACTCTGAATATGGAAAAGTGTATGCTTTATGGATTGGAATCGCATCATATGGATTGCAATCATATGAATTTTGTACAATATACAATGAGATTTATGGATATGATCTTTTCGTTGTCATTTAATGTCATCTATATTTTCATGATATCTATAATCTTCAAATATTAAAAAATATTAAATCAATTCAGAATTCTAATTAAAAAGCAAATAAACTATTAGAATTATATTTAAACAATTATATGTATATAAATGTAACAATAATGAATTTTATTATTTTAACATTTCTTTTGAATTTCTTATTTCTCTTAACGAAAAAGAATTTGCAAAAATCTTTATAATTCAGCATATAAGGTATGTTTTTCCCTTTTTAAATAAGGATGTAAATGAACTTTTGCATAATTATAATCAACGCATTCAAAAATTTTGTCACGAAATTTTTAAGCGTATCGTTTAGTCGCAAGATAAAAAAATTTTGAGGATTTGAAAATTACTATCGTATAGTCAATCAACATGTTCACAAATTTTGTTGTACGACAAATGTAATTATGACATTAGAAAAGAGAAAATATATTAAATATATAGTAATATTTTTTAACAAAATAATGTGCGCAATCGATAGAACAGACTTGTAAAATATAAAAAATTTACTTTTGCTTCTATAATTAATAAATAATTATATATTTAGAACTGAATTGCGCAGTAAAAATTCTGACGTTATAATTCAAGATAGTTGAAGTCAGCAGGAGTCCTGTAAAAAAAATGAATATAATAATTTTAACTGTAAATCTGAAGTATTTGTTTATTCATATTTCTAAATTAAAAACTATTTATTATTTTTATATATAATCATATTTTACGATGTGATTAACGAAATACAAAACAAACGCACAATTGCATAATTTAATTCTAAATTGATTATAACTTTGCAACAAGTACAAATTATTTCTGATCTCTCTCTCTCTTTAAAAGCACGTTGTATATGCCGCGCGCTGAGAAATCAATATGGTGGTCTGTTCTTTCCGGCATTCCAAGGACAGCGTCACTTCCCCTTCTTACATGACACATTCGCACAAGTGCACTCGAGTATGGAGTGATATTAAATGTCCATACACGTAAGAACATAGTGTGTCGATTGGACAACTGCATGAGTTAAATGTATTGATCTCCATCGCTCTTCACGACCGATTTTGTTTTTTTTTTTACGACGCCAGTCGAGTTGGGAGAACTTTAATTGAGTGACCGCATAGCGTTTATTGCTCGAAGATGTACACACGAAGCAGGCAAAGCCAAAACTACGGCAACGGTATGATTTTAGCCATATACGAAAATTTCGGCTTCCTGACGATGTATCCCGTATATCGCGTCGCGACGACGATGATGAGTAAGCGAACAGCGATTTTCCTTGTCGGGAAGGGAAAAAAAAATCAATACCGCACATGCCGGTCGCGGAATGGCGGCCTTCCGTGGATTTTCGCGATAATGTTTGCCATGAAAACATGGCGCGACGAACGCGACAATATTTACGAAGCGAGATGTCACGATTCACCGAACACGATTACACAAAGAAACTCAACCGTACGATTTATGTACACACTTATGTACACGATTGATATATGTTTAGGAAAAAAGTTTTTTTTCTTTTTTTTCTCACAGAAGAACTGATTGAATAAAATTTTCACTCGTCATTCATCGGCTTGTATTAAGAAGTCATTTGATTTTACAGGACGGAATTCGAATAATTCCCAAGGCCAAGGATCATACTCAATGCCTGTAAGTCTTCCTCTCTTTATTTTTTTTATCTATGTGATAATATCTATGACTTTTTATACATGATTATATCAACATGAAATAAAGATAAGCAGTTTATTAACAGGGTTACACTAGTTACACAGGGTTACACTAATTCTGACTTCAAAAATTTGATTATGCAATCATTAGTTTTCTATAAAGATAGAAATAGCATAGATATTACTATTATAAAATTGTTTCTAGTTATAGGAACAAAACTAGACACATGTTTTAAGAATTTTAAAAAAGATATGGAAGGATAAGATTTAAAATTATTATTATTATATATATATATATATATATATGTGTGTGTGTATATGTATATAAGCATTATTATATATACTTAACCCTTAAGTATAAGTATATTTAATAAATCAGAAAATCTAGAAACTTTATTCTGATTTAAATATTTCCATAAAATCAATCTCAATAAATGTTTCTCCATTTTACCAATCTATTTTCATATCCATTTTATTACTTTATGTAAAATTTTACACATATACACATACACGTAGCACATTTAACATGAATATTTTAGGACATATGATA